GGACGTGACCAATGGTCAGAGGAGATGAAAAAGAAGCAGAGTTGGAGGAGAGCCGTACAATCTGATAATCATGAACCTCTCCGACGTGGTCCTGCGAAAGGTAGACGGTTTTGAAACTCCGACAGCGGATGGGGTAAACTCGAATCTCTTTTGCATTACAATCTGCTCCTAATCTAGCTTACTTAAAAGGTGTTTTATTTGCATATAAAATGGATAGCTCTAGGACTATTGATGAGAATTGATAGTTCTTGAAACTGACCCAAGTTGAGGGTACAGATCAAGAACTCGAGACTCGAGTTAGCTATGATTCTTTTGAATTCTTTGACTGAATTACCAGTTTGTAAAAAATGCCCTCAATATACTGGTACGTCCCAACACTAGTTTTAATAGTTTCTGGATTAAAAGCTAGGGAATTAGAGATAAAGTGCAGAGAAGAACTGGTAGTAATCTTTTTGTTAAAGGAAAGGGTGATTTTAATCAATTAGTAATTCTGTCCAGTCTGATAGTGGCCTAGGAATAAGAAAAGGAAAACAAAACCGTAAGGCCAAAGGAGACACTAGGAAGTGTTTCTTTTGTAACAAGGCGGCCATTTGAAAAGAACTGTATGCCTGGCTAAGAAATAGAAACAAGGGAATACTGAAAGCAACCAGCAACCTCTAAGTCCATTTAGAAGAATCTGAAGTTTTAACTGTTTCTAAAACAGAAAAGATATATGATTGGGTATGGACTCTGGGTGCTCTTTCATATGAGTCCCAATAAAGACTGGTTTCAGGACTAGGAGGAGAATAGGTTAGAAACTGTCTACATGGGGAATAATCATGTAGGGTTGAAGGATAGGCAGCATCACTTAAAACTAAACATGGTAAAATTGTCAAGTTGACTAAAGTGAGGTACATTCCAGAATTAAAAAAAACTTGATTTCATTAGGTATCTTAGATGAATCTGGTTTTAGTTATAAAGCTGAAAATGGTTGCCTGTATGTTTTAAAAATAACTGTGTTTGCTTGAAGGGATAAAAGAAATGGCTTGTATATTCTGTCTGGATCCTATTATGCTGATTGTTTAAATTCTGCTTGTGTTTCTACTAACCTGAATGTTACTAAAAATGGCACTTAAGATTAGGCCATATGAACCAAAAGGGCCTGGACATCCTCTATAAGCAGGGCCTATTTGGTAAGGACCTTATTAGACCTCTTGATTTTTGGGAGACCTGCATTATGGGCAAGCAACACAGGTTGAGTTTCCAAAAGGGACTCACCTGGCTGCCAACTGCTTAGAATACTTGCATGCTGACTGTGGGGACCCGAAAGGTTCAAATCACACGGGGGTAGTAGTTATTTTCTGTCTATAGTAGATGATTACAGTAGGAAGGTTTGGGTTTTCTTGCTTAGGACTAAAGATGAAAGCTTTGGGTAGGTTTAAAAGTTGAAGTTCCTTGTAGAGAACCAAACTGACAGAATTAAAACCCTTAGAACAGCAATGGTTTAGAGTTCTGTAACCAGGAATTTGACTCTTCTGCACTGACATGCATCCTAAGACATAGAACTGTTAGGAGACCTCCAACAGAATGGGGTTGCTGAACGAATGAACAGAACCTTTTTAGAGAAGGTGAGATGCCTTCTCTTCACATCCTGCCTTCCTAAGTCTTTTGGGGAGAAGCCCTAAACACATCTGCCTACTTATAACAGAAGTCCCTCTAGTGCCATCACTTTATGTCCTGAGGAAAAATGGAGTATAGGAACCCTAATTTAGCACACTTGAGGACCCTTGGATGTGCTGCATACCCATAACAGTGAAGGGAAATTAGATCCTAGGTCTCTTAGGTGTGTCTTCCAGGTTATCAAGAGGGAACAAAAGGGTATAGGCTTTGGGATAAGAGTACCCCAGGAGTTAGAATAATATTAGTAGGGATGTAATTTTCAATGAAAATATATTTCCTTGCAAGATTGCTAACCCTGATGCAGATCCACAAGCTACTCCATGAACCAGGACCAGCCTGAGAGAGTCCAAATTGAGGTGGAGTCTGCGAATTCAACCTGGATTAGAACATCAGGAAGCTGAAGTATGAACCAGATCTGGACCTTGACTTGGATGAGGAAAATGCAATAGAACCTGCTGAACCCCATTCTGATCCTTTAGCCAGTACCAGCTAGCCAGGGATAGACCTAGGAGAGAAATCAAGCCACCATCAAGATACTCCTATGCAGATTTGATCTACACAGCCCTGGTGGCAGGGCACAAGTTCAAGGTCATAACCAGACGGCTATGAAGAAGCAGTTAGATCTAAAGACAAAGCACAATGGCAAGCTGCAATAGAGGAAGAGATCTGTCCCTTAAGGTAAATGGAACCTGGTCTTTGGTTCCAAATCCCAAGACCAGAAACTGGTTGAGTGCAGATGGCTATTCAAACTGAAGGAGGTATGACCTCTTCTGACCCTCCTAGATATAAGGCTAGGTTGGTAGCTAAAGGCTACACACAGCGGGAGGAATGGACTTTAACGAGATATTCTCCCCCGTTGTGAAATATAAAACCATTAGGATCATGTTAGCCATTGTTGCCCATAAGGCCTTAGAATTAGAACAGTTGGATGTCAAAACTGCCTATTTGCATGGGAATTTGGATGAAAAAATTTATATGGACAGCCCATAGGTTTTGTAGATAAAACCTGCCCAACCATGTATGCCTACTTCACAAATCATTATATGGACTGAAACAGTCCCCTAGGCAGTGGTATAAACGTTTTGATGCTTTTATTCTTAGTGTTGGCTTCAAGAGAAGCAAATATGACAGTTGTTTCTATTTGCTTTATATGATGATATGCCTTTGTATTTGCTACTGTATGTTGATGACATGCTTTTAATTTGCAAGTCTAAATCTAGGATAAAGTTAAAGAAAAAATTAAACCTGAATTGGTATGAAAGATTTAGGACATGCAAGAAGAATTTTAGGCATGGTCATAGATAGAAACAGAAAGCATAATGAACTAAAGTGCATCAGACTTCATATTTGCAAAACTGGTGACCAAATTTGGCATGACAGGTTCTAAAGTAGTAACTACCTTTGGCTGGACATTTCATGTTAGTAAGAGTCATGTCCCAAAACAGATGCAATTTAATTAAAATGGAAAATGCTCCCTATGCTAATGTATTGGGTCTGTTAGTATGCCATGATTAGCACTAAACCAGACCTCTCCTTTGCAATTCCCTTTTAAGCCGATTTATGTCAAATCCTGGCTTTGAGCATTGGCTTGCCCTCAAATGGTGCTTAGGTATATTAACATACATTAAATGTGGTCTGGAATATGGAAAAGATTGACTCACTTGATCTTGTAGTTTGTAGACTCTGATTTTGCAGGTGACAAGGACCTCAGAAAGTCAACTACTGCATACTTGTTTACCTTGGGGGAATTGTGTGAGCTGGAAGTCCCAGCTTCAGCCAATTGTTGCACTGTCCACCACCGAGGCAGAATATGTGGCTGTCACGGACGTATTCAAAGAAGCCCTTTGGCTCCAAGGTTACTATCAGAGGTAGAGCTGCTGGATGGTACAGTTACTGTCTATTCGGACAGCCAAAGTGCCATCCACTTATCAAGAATCCAGTGTACCACGAACGGACCAAACATGTTGATGTCGTACCACTTTGTGAGGGAGCTAGTTGAGAAATGAGTATCAGCCTGAAAAAGGTACCAACTGAAGACAATCCTGCTGACATGGAACAAAGGTGGTGACTCCGTTAAGTTCAAGCACTGCTTAAACTTACTGCATGTCAAATGACCTGCAACAATCGAGCTGTGATAAGCAATCTGTGATGAAATGCACTATAAGGTTATTTTTTTCTTTGATTGGGTGGTGTGTTAAAGCTTCAAGGTGGAGTTGTTGAGTGAATCTTCAACGGTGCTAAGTGAAACCTGACGTTTTGGTTTTACTAAGTGATAATCCTCAGCCATTGATTCTATTCAGATCTGACGGCCATTATAGCTCATTAAGTCAAGGTAAAAGCAGCAAATCTGGAAAATTCGCACAGCGCTTCGTCTTCTTCTTCACGCGTTTTACAACAGGTTTTAGTCTCTTATTTTCTACTCTTTGAACATTGTAATCAGGTTAGATTCTTGTGAATCTTGTAGCAGAAATTCAGAGTAGTGTTTCTGGTATAGGCTTTCAGTTTTTCGGGTTAGCTTATTGTGATTACAGGCAGGTTTGAGTGATTGTTGTATAAGTGTAAGAGTTGAGAGATTTGGGTTTTGATTGAGTTTGTACTTGTAATACTTTGATCCTTATAGTGCAGTGAGTCCCAATTTGTCTGGAGCTCAACGTGGACTAGTTTATCCATTGGAATAAGCGAACCACGGTAAAAATTTGTGTTCTGATTGTGTTCTTGGTAGTTAAGTCTTGTGATTCTGTTTGTGAGTGTTGATTGATAGTTTGAATTCTGTTTCACGCACAACAGGATTCATATTTCAATTTCTAATAGGACTCATAAATTTATATTCTTATTTACCGTTATATTCTTTATTAAATAGTTTTCCTAAAGATATACAATTTCATATGGAAACAAACAGAAAAACGAGCCACAATATCTCATTCATATTCAATTCTTAATAGGAGTTCTAAATTATATTCCTATTTATAATTGTATTTTTTATTAAATAGTTTTCATAAGACATACAATTTTATATGGAATAAATAGAAAAGCAAACTACAATATCCCAATAGTTATCAAGTTAGTGTCAGACTAATTGAAAACAAACTTGAGGCTCAATATTATGAAAAATGTGGTTTGGGTAGAACTCACCTCCAAAAGCTAGCTTAAGGGAGGAGGGAACCTAACATATATTTTATTGCACAATTTTGGTATAAATTTCACGTTCCTGAATTGTAACATTACAGATATGAAGAACCTATTATCTCAAATCAAACCAGGCCTCTTAATTTGGTCTGTTTTATAACGGAAACCAAATAGTACTGTTTTCATTGACAAATAGAACCTAAAATCATCAAAAATTACCATCTAAACTTTTTAATTACACTGAGTAACTTCTCCTTCTTAGGTTCCGTAGCTTTCTCTTCTTTGAAGGAAAAATTATGTTTACGCGGCTTGAAGAGAGCACATCTGCGATAGGTCGAACTCACAATATCACAAATGAGACGAGATTGTAGAATTATGTAAAAGATGGCTGGACCTGAAGCAATGCCGGTAACAAGATAAGCACACCACCTCTTTGGGTCATCGAAGACAATGAAAAACGTTGTACAAAACACTACCATCATTGCTACTACTGATAAGAAAAATGTTCGAAGTCCTATAAGCAACATCGTAGGCAACCACCAAAAGAAATCTTTTTCCCCATAGCGCGCAGTCAGAATGGATAACAAGGTTAAAACGGAGCAAGAGGATAATACCAGCGATGCTCCATCTACTATGTCAAAAACAGTGAATGAATCTTTTAAAAGGAAATTAGGTGTCCCAGTGTCTTGTTTGGTGCCACCTGGTGTAGTGAAAGCAGCAGCAAAAGCTACAGTAGGAATAAGTGTTGCCACAATCATGCATGAATTTGCAGTGCCCTTCATCCATTTCTCTTCCTCCTTTTTTAACTTCTCATGCTGCTCAGAAAATAAAACTTCAGGAGTCTTCCCTTCCATTTTTTTTTGGGCGGCGGGGGGCATCCAGTGGATTGATAATTTCTCGCACTTCCTACAGCTAATGTTATGAAATAAGTTACCAAAGGAAAAAAAATAAAAGAAAAAAAGGTTTTATTTTACACACGAGAATATTGATCATTATTTAAATAATTACCTCAAACCATAACAACTCTCGCTGCAGTTGAAGAGCTGCTTCTGATACAATACTGAGCCGATCTGGTGGTGCCAGAATTCTAGCAAAATGCAAGATATTATTCCCTTCATTATCTGTGAATGGAACTATTAAATCTTTAAATGAACTAATCTTATGTATAAGTTTGAAGATGTTGTTGTGGCGATATTTTACAGCATAATGAAAGATTGTATATCCATTGTCATCCACTTTAAATACCAAATCAGGATATTCTCGAATAAGAATGGTTAGAAATTCAATGTTCCCTTGTTCTGCGGCAACAAATATTAGATTACGATCTATTGGCATTCCAATCAATCGTGAAATGTCTGAATCCTTCAAAACTATGATCTGTTCCCAGAGGCGTTTGATCAGTTTGGTTGCTTTTGGGTCCAGCTTCTTTTTGAGGAATATGAAGCGACTTGAAATTACAAGTTTCATTAAGTCAACTTTAGTTCACCGAAAAAGAGATTTCATTTTGAACAGGTGATTCTCGTGTAGTACCCGATCAGTATTGATATCAATGAATAATAAATTAATTTATATACAAATTTTACGTTTTCTAACACCAGAAGGAAAACATTAATCTTAGTGATTTAGGTGCAAATTTCCATATCAGTTTTGAAAGGAAATACATAATAACAAAATATTTTCTGTTTGAATGAATCTATAAGGAGCAAAATCTTAAGCAAATATACCAGAAAAAACAATAGAATTGGCAAGAGACATATGCAATTTTAAGTTAAAAAACTTCTTCGATATGAAGAGATTAAAAACTTACGAGATCGAATGATCCACTTAAATCCACTATAATAAAAAAAATGTTTATAACAACCACAAATCATCAATAATATTCCACCCAAAATTTAGAGATTTATCACAACTCTAATAAAGTAAAACACACAAAAGAGTTACGAAAAGATAAAAGTAAAATCACCAGCAAAGCACCCGAAATGCAGATTGTATAACTCCAAACTCAACCGTTAAAATAAAAAATCAATCATCCAGATTGAAGAGCAAACGTCCTCTACATTTTAACAAAAAATCAGGTTGATCAGACTAGAGATGACCTTTCGATCGTCACGCTGTAGAGGGACTGACGAACTGAAAAATTTTGTAATCCAACTCTTTGATTTGACTATCTTTCATGAGGCAAAACTCCACAAAAAAGATGACTATTACAAATCTAGCCGTTGGATGTGAAGATCTTGCCATCAACAACAACGTTTTAAAATTTGAGCAAAAACAAAGTAAAATTCATTATTGGATCGTCACCGAGATAACCTAGTGTGGCTGTCTCTTTCTCACTTCTACATATTTTGTATCAATAAACGGTATCCTATTTTTCGCACTACTCACCCCCTCCAAAAACGAATAAAGCTGTTGCAATTTTTTTTCTTTTATTTTTGGGTTTTAGTTTGGGCCATCCTCCACGCGAGAGAAACCCAAGCCCAACAAGTTTGCACTCCTAAATCAAAATTGTCAAATGGAAAGGTTAATTAGGTAGTGGAAGTGTTAAAGATTTGAGAAGACTAGCATAGACTGAAGCATCTTTCCCAAAATCCTTGCGTATTGACAATAGACATTCGAGCCAAGGCATGCAAAGCTGTCTCACCTTCTGCATCACTAGCAATTGCTAAACCGTCATATTTCTCCACCAATTCAAGCGCAACATCTGAGAATGCAACAAAGCAAATGGTGGATGGAACATAGAACCAATTTAAAATAGTATTTTATCAAAAACATGTCTGGGTTCGTACCATAAAAACCATTGCTTATCACATTGACAAGCAATTCGAGGCGATGGTTATTGTCGAATGACTTAACAGCAGTGATCTCATAAAGGTATTTTACCATCTCTCAATGGCCAAACAAAGCTGCCATATCTAGTGGTAGCGTATCCATTCAACCTAGGACCATGGCTAAGTCTTTACTCTCATTCTTCACAGTGTCAATTTTTTTCTCTCTGGGACCAACATTTTCTTTGACCTTATCCATCATCAGTTTGGCAAGTTTCATACTTCCGCACGCGACAGCGAGAAAAAAAGGCGCATCTCCTGCTTTATTTTTCATATAGGATAGATCCATTTTTTCTTTTGGCAAATTTTCTAACAACTTTTTCACAAAGGTGGAGCGCTTAGCTGCAACAGCTATGTGAAGAGCAGTATCCTCTTCTTTTGATATCCTAGCTGTTATATCAATTTCATAATCCTTATAAATTTTTTCAGCGCTCTTCCAATCACTGTCTATTGCAGCTCGATACAATTTTAAGTGTCAACGTCTCTCCTTTTCGTCAGTCAAATTAAAAAAAAAAATTAAAAAAATTAGTAAATTAAAGATACAGGTTGCGAGAAAAGTCTAGAGATAGAGAGAATTCGAGAAGAAAAACAGTGGCAGTGTAATCTCTTAACTGAATTATGCTTAACCGTTTCTTAGCTGGAGTACAGGTGCTTATATGCAAGTTCAGTCAATGAGCTGAACTGGGCTAACATTCATTGACTAATCATGGAACAGAAAACTACGTCGTTTACATTAGATATAACTCCTTAAGCTATGTCGTTTTATATGAAGTGGACCAACTCCTTCTAGCTTTCATTCTCGACAATTTAACCCAGCTACTTTGCATAGTCAATATTCCCCCTCAAACTAAACCGTGTATCTTCAAGCACTATCTTCCAGCACTCTGTGCACTTTCCAGGACTTTATTCATCAGCCGCATAGTCAACATTCCCCCCAAATCAAACTGCACTTTAATTCTGCACATCTGATGTTAAACTGCATTGTAACTCTGCACTGGACTGCCTTTTAATACTACACATCTAACGTTAGACTACATCTTAACTCTGCATATCTAATGCTACATTTTAGACTGCACTACAACACATCTTCAACTATTTAGTACAAGAATCAACCATTCAGGACACCAATACAATGAGTTTTGTAGGTCTAACGTGACCTGTAGTCTGCATGTAAATTTTAGCACAATTTACTTCGTAAACAGACTTTCAATTATTCAGTATACCAACTACACCATGGAGTATTTTAAACAAAACCATTAAGTATACCAACTACACCATGGAGTATTTTAAACAAAACCACAGCAGCTAAATATTTTTTCTGAAGACTTGAACCACAGTCAACATCAACAAAGACACATTCCTACCTATATAGGAAGTTCGTTGCACCATTGCATAAGTACTTCATCTATACATTTCACTGTTGTTCAAGAGAAATGACATTAAGCTTCTTTCTTAACTCAGTGAATTGAGCTACTGAAAGAGGTTTTGCAAGACAATCGGCAATTTGTAGTTTAGAGGGAACATATTGAATCACCATTTTCTTAGCCAATACTTGTTCTCTTACATAATGAGCATCAATCTCTATGTGTTTGGTTTGAGCATGAAACACGGGATTGGCAGCCAAGGCTCCTGCACTCCAATTGTACACCATATAACAAGAGTATTGTGAAGGATTATACGTAACTCAGAGAACATATTTTGTAACCAAGCCACTTTTATAGTTATGTGAGCAAGCGCCCTATATTCTGCTTCAATTGAAGAGAGGGCGACCACCTTTTGTTATCTAGAGCTCTATTGGATGAGATTAGGTCCCAAGTATACACAATAACCACTAGTTGATCAGCGATCTTCTAAGCCACTTTCCCAATCGGCATCTGCATAACATTCAACATGTAAAAAGCTAGCTGGTTTAAACTGAAGACCATAATCTAAAGTACCTTTAACATATCTAAGGACTTGTTTGCATGCTTGCCACTGAAGTTTAGTTGGAATTTGTAAAAACTGACTAGGTTTATTAACTGTAAAGCTAATATCTGATCAGGTTAGAGTGAGGTATTGAAGGGCACCAACTATGCTCCTATATAGACTAGGATGATCAAATAGTGGACTATCATTGGGAAACAACTTGGTACCTAAAGCCATAGGTGTTAAGCAAGCATTAGCTTCTAGCATTTTAGTCTTGAGAAGGAGATCTGATGCATATTTAGACTGTTTAAGATGAATACTACTGGCTGATCTACTATTTCTAAACCTCAGAAATACTTCAAGGAGCCCAAAGTTTTTAGTGCGAACTGAGTGTTAAGATCCTAAACTAGTTGGAGAACATAAGTGCCATCAGAACCCATGATAAGTATATCATCCACATACACTAGGACATAAATCAGACCAGAATTGTGCTTTAGGATGAACAAACTTGAATATGAAACTGAGTTGACAAACCCTTTGTTGAGAAAAGCAGTTTTTAACTTGTTAAACCATGCCCTAGGAGCTTGTTTATGGCCGTACAGAGCTTTATTTAGTTTGCAAACAAATGAGGGATGTTTAGCATCCTCAAAACTAGCTGGTTGATGCATGTAGACTGTCTCATTCAGCTTACCATTTAAAAACGCATTATTCACATCAATCTATTGAATGTCCCATCCATTTGTCACCGCTAAGGTGAGAATAATTCTGATTGTTGACGGCTTGACAATCAGACTGAAACCTCAAAATAGTCCTAGCTAAGGGTTTGTTGAAAGCCCTTGGCAACTAGTTTAGCTTTGTATTTTTGGAGGGACCCATCTGCATTAACTTTGTTTAGAATACCCACTTATTTCCTACTATGTTCATATTATCTAATGAGGGGACAAGAGACCAGGTATTGTTCTTGATCAAGGCTTCAAACTCATTTTGCATGGCATTTTTCCATTCAGGAGTTGCAAGTGCTTCAATTACAGTGGTGGGTTTAGGCATTATGGAATTCTAGCCAGTTGTGAACAAAATTTTAGGAGTTGTAGACTGATCAGCATCAGGAGACTTTGTAGGTTTATGAGAAGCATTTAAGAGAGTTGCCAAGGTAGTATCATCAGTGGGTTCTGCAGGCACTGTGACATCAGTAGGAGCAACAATAGCTGATTTTGATCTTGTAACCATTGGGTGGACATTAGTAACTAGAGTAACCCGATGAAGTGAACTACCATGAGATCTAGAGGAGTTAATAGCACCCGTAGGATAGGAACATGGTGAAGATCTTGCTACAGGTTTAGCGAAGGACGATGGATGGGCTGAGGAAAGTGTGAGATCAATTTCGAAGGTATAATTTGATGGAATGTAATTTGGAGATAAGGTAGGGAGAGAGGACACATGCTGAGATATATCAGATAATGGAGAAGAAGCTGACTGAGGTTGGTCTGAAGATGATGAATCAGATTTACTGGGTAATTGGGAAGAGGCTGACTGAGGTTGTTTTGAAAATACTGAATCAAGTTGTTGCGGGGAGCTAATAACGTGAGGATTGGGTCATATTGATGGTGAAATAGATACTGATGAAGTAGATGTTGTTTGAGATAATAATGGACCTGTAAAATGCTTACCAACTGCTATGATGTTAGGTGAAGTCCTAAGCTGAGAATTAGAAATTGCAGAGGGGACAGAACCATTCAAGGAAGGACTATGAGAGACAATAATACAAGGAAAAGACATAGAGGACTAATCTGAAGATGTGGTATTAGGTGATAGACTAGAAAGTGCATTTAAAGTAGACACTGAACATAAATTATTACATGAAAAAGGAAATTCAGACTCATTGAATTTTACACTATAAGTAATGAATATTTTTCTATCTGACTTGAAACATTTGTACCCTTTATGCAATAGACTATAACCAACAAAAACACACTTAGAAGAATGAAAATCAAACTTATGAGAATTAAAATTTCTAAGATAAGAAAAGCAAGCACATCCAAAGACTTTTAAACTATCATATACGGGATCTTTACGAAACAATTTTTGATATGGTGAACTATGATTAAGAACGCTAGTAGGCATCCTATTTATGAGAAAAACTGAAGTTTCAAATGCTAACCACAAATATTTAAGAGGCATGGATGCATGCCCAAGTAAGGTAAGTCCAATTTCAACAATGTGTCTATGCTTTCGTTCACTCCGACCATTTTGTTGAAGAATTACGCACAAGAGTATCTAAATGTGATGCCTGTTTCATTAAGATAAGGAACAAGAGCCTTATACTCTCCTCCTTGATCAGATTACAAGAATTTTAGCTTTGTATCCAAATTGTCTTTCAGTAAGACGATGAAATTGAAAGATAGATGCATGGAGAATCAAGCATATCATACTATAACAAGTATAGTCATAGTTTAAAAAAAAATTTCAAACAAATAGAAATAAGTAAGGTAGAACAAGTTACCTTAAGCCCTTAGCAACCTTGGAGACTCTTAATTTCAAGAGAAATTAAGCAAAAGAGTATCCACACCAAGGGAAGAAGAAATTTGACCAAGAGGGAGATTTAGGGTTCTTAGAGATTTTCTGCACATCTGATGTTAAACTGCATTGTAACTCTGCACTGGACTGCCTTTTAATACTACACATCTAATGTTGGACTACATTTTAACTCTGCATACCTAATGCTACATTTTAGACAGCACTACAACACATCTTCAACTATTTAGTACAAGAATCAACCATTTAGGACACCAATACAATGAGTTTTGTAGGTCTAACGTTACCTGTAGTCTGCATGTAAATTTTAGCACAATTTACTTCATAAGTAGACTTTCAATTATTCAGCATGCCAACTAAACCATGGAGTATTTTAAACAAAACTATTCAGTATACCAACTACACCATGGAGTATTTTAAACAAAACCACAACAGCTAAATATTTTTCCTGAAGACTTGAACCACAGTCAACATCAACAAAGACACATTCCTAGCTATATAAGAGGTTCGTTGTGCCATCGCATCAGTACTGCATCTATACATTTCACTGTTGTTCAAGAGAAATGACATTAAGCTTTTTTCTTAACTCAGTGAATTGAGCTACTGAAAGAGGTTTTGTAA